GGGGGGGGGGGGGGGGCGTTAGCTTTGAAATCTACAGCTGACACATTTCAGAAGAACGATCACAATCCAATATTTTAGTACTGTCAAATTATAGACAGCAGTTCTCATATCTGCTCTGCTCATAGGTTAGATTGTCACTGAATTGGGGCATAGCTACCACAAGATTCAATTGACTTGTAGCTATATATCAACTTCGATGCAGCCACAGAAAGATGAATGTTGTAAACAAATACCAAACAACATGCCCATGTATCTTCACTCAGTATAGACTTGCTGTTTCTTTCTTGTTGTAATGCCAGATGGTAGGTAAAATCTAGAAGCTGTAGAAAGCTGTAGTTTTGCAGGTGACAGTGAGGAAGTATTTCCTGTGTTGGAGAGGGATGTGGGTCAACGTACTAGGTCACTAGCCATACACTCTTCTACATGTGTACTTCACACAATGTTACTCTGGAACTCTTGGTTCTAAATATAATATAGGGTGCTTTTTTAACATATCTAGTAGACTACTACTAGTACTAGTTGTTTTACAAAGGAGCATGGTCTTTGAAAAGCTAACAACATACAATAGCCGGCTTGTTATATGTGGTCTCAACAACATAGATAAACCAGCAACCATAATAGTAACTGAAGAAATCTTATCATTCATAGGCATTGTTATGGGCTTGGTTGTAATTTTATAGTCCTTTCAATTGATAAATGCTGGTAGACAACCTGGAAGCTTCAGAAATGGTGACACTCTCCTCCATTGTAAGCCTAATGTAAAAGAGTGATCATTATGTAAGAGGAACTCCTAGGAAGATTTTGGCAAATTTTTTTGTACATTTTTTTTTTCAGATGACCTTGCACCCTCCACCTGACCTTGATATCAGAAGGACACCCCCCATGAGATATCAGGACCCACTGGTACAAATGTACCACCACACTTGGGACCCTGGAAGACTGAAAGGTCTGGGGTTCTACTCCCAGAACTGTTCCAGTTCTACACGGATAACATGAACCATGTGGACTCTTTTTGCCACAGGCCCAGTAAAACGGAGATTTCTACATCATAAATTAAACACAAGAATGCAGAGCTTGGCTAATTACTGGCTTACAAGCCTCTTGGAACTAAGAGTAAAACATGGATGCTTCAAATTCCTTTTACCAGCATTACTGTCTCCTTACTGATGTCAAAAAGCAGCAAATAGGGGAGGCAATACCTGAGAGCACTATTCAGCTGATGGGGAGGGGGGCATATGACATGTCAACAACATCTTATTACTCCTATCTTGCCCTGGAGATACAATATAGGGATCTATTATTGCACATAGTTAGGATACCAGCTGTACATGATAATTACCTGATATAAAGAGGAGAGGAAAACATACGGCTATTACAGGAAACATTAAACAACAGTTATATGCCTATTGCTGCACTCAAGGTATACTCATACTAGTCATACTCAGAATCCCTACAAGTTACAAAACATACATACATCTTTTGGTGTTTGGTATACATGCACCAATCTGTACCAAGAAACTTCTTTTCTGAGAAATCTGTACTTTTGCAACTATAGATCTATTACAAAGCATACATAATGTCAGATTATCCCTGTTTTGTCTCCAGGTAAGGTTTTTCACCCATGGGGCATGAGAAACTAGTAAGACACTAACTCCTGAATTGACCCAGCATATCTCAATGTTCCATTCCACACATTTCAAAGGACTTTGATATTTCTCCCCTAAAGTCTTAGTCAATAAGCTGGGTTACGTAACTGTATACCGATTATGTACACCTTATCTTACCTTCACCATCCATCAAGCTGACAAGATTACTATCTGCTAATAAGAGAGGGTCAGGCACTGAACTCGTAAAGATACACAACAGTATGGTTCTGATTTGGAGCTGGGCTTCAAGCCCACATGTTAGTCAAGATCAGCCATATTGGACAAATTGCAGAGTAGCAATGGCTTGACCTGTTGTTGTGAAAGCAGCACGCAATGACGACAATCACTCTCAGTACGGCGATGCCTCTTTAACACTTCTGTTCGGGAGATAACTTACAACTGGAAGAGAAACATAAATACACCACCTCATCCTGTCAGTTAGTTCTGGAAGAGAGGAATCTTGTGGTTAGAGTGAGGTGAACCTTCTAGCCTTGGCCTCTCTGGCCACTGTTCAAGAAGAAGACACCACATGTCAAGCAAACATGTTTAGGTGACATGTCACCCCTCCTGTGTGACCAAACAAAAAGATTTCCTTTTGGCTGCGCAGGAACAACAACAAAATGTAAGACTTAGTTTTGGAGTACGTAGCGAAGGGTTTACCTCTCTTTGTTGTCTCTCCAGTTCCTGCATGCGTAGCGCTCTGGCCTCGGCACGTGCTGCCCGTTTCGCCGCCAACCGTTGCTCGGCCTGCGAAGGAAACAAAAAAAGAACACTGGTCAAAAGCCATTGCCAGCAGAAGAATATACAGAACAACTGAAATTTGGACTACAAGATCTTGTGTGTACAATGACTATCACCCCTCCCCCTAACATGTGGACTTTCCTATCATATCATCTCAAATCTAGTCTCACAACTCACTGATAACTCATGATACAAGGAACCCTCCCCCTTAGAGTTCTCAGACCTGTACTTGAACTTCAAGTTGAAGATGAGCCATAAAGATGTTTCTGACCACATGTTTACCTTGCTATAGACTTCCACTGTCCATACAAAAGAGCTGAAGGCCAGATACTTGCACTGGTTCAGGCTATAGTGCATCCTGACCACTTGATTTGTGACCACTTCTGTAGATCCAGCCGGCTGGATCATTGCCCCTGGAACCTACCACTCATCTTCAAGGGGTGTGCGTGGGGGGCTGTGTATTCACTATCACTTTTTTATACAACAACTGAATGTGTATTGGGTAGAATAATACACTTTTCTACACTCTATTTACTTCAGAAAGAGATACAATTCATTTCTATTTTGGTTATCCTGATAATTTTGCAGACAATATATATTGAAGACCCCTAAAAGTGGCACATCCCAGATGCACAATAAAGAATGTGAATTCCCAGAGCTGGCTATTTACCCTCCTGTAGTTGACAAACAGGGGTTGTTGACTACTCCAACAGGGGGGTGCCAATAAAGCCCCATTTACAAGTGCCATCCTTTTATCCTGGGGACACCAGAACCACATAAACACCCATTCTCCTCAGCCCCCCACCCTGGAAACTGCCACAGACAGCCCAGGAAATTGGAGAAGGGAAATTCCACGGTATCAAGAGAATCCCGCATTTCCCGTTGTGGCCAGAAGGGTAGCCGCAGTCTACAGGATTCCCAGACACTGGTGAGACTTTCCCCACTTTTTATCTCCACTTTTCTCATAAGCTGAAAGTTGACTGGGCTGTTTTTGAAGAGCTGAGCATATTTACTAACATCCAGTACAGAGAATGAAGATTTAGATAAGATGAAACGTTACTGATTTTGGAAACCAAAGGAAACCAGGTAAGAGTGGTAAATTTCCTGTCTAAATTTTCACAATTTCCTGATGACAGAATGTTTGGGTCGGGTGTTTATGGATGATTTACTCTGTACCAGATGATGGCATGCCTACCTGAAACTTTATTTCCAGTGTTCCATTACATCTGACCTGGCCCAGTGCCAGAGAACAGTTATAGGTTACAAATGGGTTAGAAATTCCTCTGACCTTTGGCGTATTCAAACTAGGACTAGGAGGTTGAAGGCACGTGCAGAAAAAATGGATGTACTGGTAATACAAGGAGAATACCTTATAGATCACTTTATGTTCGCGGTAGCAAAAGTTCACGGTCTGAGAAAAATGAATGTTTTTGCAGTGGCATCAGGTTCAACAAAAAGAAAATTGGCAAGTTATTTGTTCACGTTTTTAAGTTTAAACAAAAAACCCCAAAAGTACTCTGAATCTGATAAAACTTTGATTTACATCATCCTATGCGACCTGAGATGACTGTCGGCTGAAGTCAAGAGCGGCCCAAACTGGAAAATATTCCTACCTGGCTTGAAGGAATCTACATCTACATCTACAATATCTCCATAGCATTAATAAATAATCAATACAATGAAATATAATATACTTTTGATTGTTATCATCCTCTGTTGAAATTTATAAGTGTAGAAATTAGAATCACTAGTTTATAGCACAGTATTTGTGTCCAAACCTTGGCCTGGTTGTACCCCCAAGGGAACACAGAAAAGTTTAGCCAAGCTCTCCTTGTACCAGATTTTCCTCAATTTGTTATGGCTACTGAAAAAAACAGACAGGAACGGAACCTAGAACAAGGCGATCACAACAACACTGGACTTACTGTTTCAGCACGCCATCCCTGAAACTAGCACACGCTAATTGACCGACTTTTAGCACGTTAATCCTTTTCTGGTGAAAAAGAAACCCAGCTGTGAGATGCTTATTCCAGTAAGAGACATGGCAAGACTCCTCAAATTACTTCTTTAAAGTTCTTATCTGTCAAGACATAACAAGAGTGTGAACAGTAAGATTATCTCTATTATTGATGTCAAGCTCTGATCCTCGGGGAATCTTCGAGAATCATTATCAACCAATTGAAAATTATAGTTCAAACACCTTTGGATTTGATGGTTGTAATACTAATACCAATGACAATATTTGATGCATTGTTGTTTGTCTGCATCATAATTTTACAGCAATGTGCTAAAGTAAACACATAGGGATTTACATAAGAATATTTCAACATGTGACAATTACAACATAGGTGAGAAAAGGCTTGACAGTACAATGAATGAATGAGCAATGGATTTGCATGCTGTTTTTGTTTTCTTTTATTCCATCATGATACAAGTCCATGCCAATGTCTCTGTCTAGCCATCTTTTAACTCCCTGGTGTAGCAAAATGATTCAAAAGATTGCAATTTACTATAAAATGGTTTGCAACTGCAAGTCTAAAGTCGTATGTATGACATGTTATAAATTTGGGTTCAGGATTACTGAATATTGTACAGTTAGGCCACACCAATTTAATTTCTTGGTTAATGGATTCACCCGCTTCATTTTTTTCTGATTTACAAATAAAAATAAAAATTCAGAATCAACTGCAAAATGCTCATATTTTGCCCTGAACAGTTGAAAACTGTCCTTTTCATCCTACTTGTTACAGTTATTCCATTTTTCAATGCAATGGTATCATTAAAAGTTAAAAATTCATTGTTTAAATTTTGAACCAGCCTGGTGTGTTGACTTCATGGCTCCTATCGTACCATTTTGGGCCATAATAGGATGCCTAGGGCTGTTTTTATTTTATTTTATTTTTTTCACCCGCCCGCTCCATTATTTTTCTAGAAAAATCCGTTAACCAAGAAATTAAATTGGTGTGGCCTTAGACAAAAAATTTTGATTCAACAAAGAAAAATCCACCTTGGCAATTATCTAGGACCCACATGTTTTATTTCAAACAAAGAGACAAATTTACACAAAGATCTTTTTTCGTACCATGGGAAGTTTACTATTTTGGCTGTGAATAACATTCTTTACAAGGGCAGTATGGTTCACAGGATAAATCACACGCTTGTCCTGTTTTCTACACATGCTAACTGCCCCTGTTGTTTATGGGTCAGGAGTGTCTCTTCTCTAGTTTTATCTGACAGTTGTTAACTGAGTACTGGTGGTCTGGTTTGGAGTGGGATCTTTCTGGATCACTGCTTCTGGAAAAAACCGTAGACAAAACTGGATCCAGATATCTTCAAACTACAGTGAGTCATGGTCCAGAAATGTGAACTTGCCATACTTTTTAGTGAACCTCCACACTGCTGTGCTGTGCTCCCCCTTGTGGCAAGTTTTGGCATTACAGCTGTGGCACCATGCCCAAGTGTATGGATTATGGCACTTCCTATTGGCAGACTGATGCATTGCAGGCAAACCAAAACAAATTCTTTGTCAATAAAAATGTTTATTCTCAACTTGACAAAGGGACAAAATCAGATCTCACCTTTAGTACCATTAATACTTTCAACTGAATTTCAGATCCAAAACAATACAAATTTGACATTAACTGCTAGTTACTAAGTTAGATGAATTGAAGTAATTTTTTTCCAGATATCGACATTATTCAGCTATCACCATCTTCAAAATTGTCTACCTTTTCAAAATATTTATCTAGAAACAAAAGAAAATCACTGCATAGAAGGCTGACAACATCAAAATACAAGTAACAGACGTACATGTAGACATACATAGATGTACTTGCATCTCAACCTCATTGTTTTCAAACAAAACCTATGACAAGACTCAATAGAATACAGTAACAACAGTAAAACCATAGAATTAAGTCCAATCACTTCTAGAAACACCTAAACATATCTAGACCTACTATACTTGAAAGAGAGTTGTACACTTGACAAAAAAATGAATCTATACCTTCCACTCTTTGCCGGAGGATGGGACAAGTGCACCACAATAGGCCGCCATGTTGTTAGGAAACAAAACGCCTGGACAGATGTGGACCATTTGGGGAATGGCCCTCCCTGTCAACTTCCACACAATGGACGGGGTGCATAATTTGTCAGTATGACTGATTTCATTAAATCCCCGACAAATCGGAAGCCAAACTTCTTTTTTTCCTTCAAAAGAGACAAGATAAATCAATACTCTGCTTTCTCTCAATAAAAAATAACACAAAACACAAATGACCAACTTTGATTTAATAATGGGAAAGGTAAAAAGATTTGGTATTCATTTTTGGTACCTTCATTATTTTCTATCCACATCAATATGAGAGTGTGAGACATATGCATTTATCAACAAAGGGATTTTGCCTTTGCCTTTGGTAACAATTTTTTTTTCATTTTTGCTACCTTCATTATTTTCTATCCACATCAATATGAGAGAGTGCATTTATCAACAAAGGGATTTTGCCCTTTGATAACAATAATCTGAAAATGACTTGGCACTCTTTTTGCATCTCCATTTTAATGACCAGTGATTTAATAGACAGTACACAGGGTTCTCCCCAGACGATGGAACAAGGGCGCTGCGCCCTTATACTCCTAGCTCAGCGCCCTCATACTCATTTTCAAATCTAGGGTGTTGCATCCCGATTTTTCTACAAAATTTCGCTAAAATTTCCTGATTTCGGGGCTTAGTGGCGTCTATTTTCCCGCCGGCATTGTCTCTGAAAACTTGTGAATGGGGCGATAATCGAGTAAACAATGAGTATTTCGCACGACGCTACTGAGAGAATCGCTGTCATTGGTGGAACATCGGGCTCCCCGCTAGCGTTTTGAAGTCGTGTAAAGAAAGCTAATTGTCTGATTTCTTTGTAAACCAAAGCCCTCGACCCTGATAATAAGTTTAAAAATAAAAGCCGATACGTTTACGAACTTATAAACCGTAGAAAATTCCCTACAGTACCGCGACA